GATTCGGCGGTTACTTGATGAAGATCCATAGTAATTTCAAAAACTACACGATCCAATTTTGATTCATCCAAATTTCTCAAAAACATTCACTCTCACAGATGCGAGTGAATTTGCAATGGGGTCAATAATTTGTCAAATACGAGATAAAATGAATCATCACCATGTCTACAAAATGGAACTATTAAATCGATTTGAAAAAACTATTATTGGCGAAGCATGGTTAAATACATATCAAACTATACTAATAACTGCAACATTTGCCAAAAATCTAAATACGAAAGAGAGCCAAATGAATTTCAATTTCAACCAATACCAACATATCATATCGATACCTTGTCAATATCAAAAGACAAATTTCTTACATACATATGTAAGGGAATTCGGAGTGTGGGGTTTGGGTTTGCTGTCGTTGAATGGATCTTTGAATTTGGGATAGTCGTTTTGGTAAAGGGCGTCTTTGAGTTCGTATAGTTCCTAGGATCAATTTTATTGTCAGTGAGTCTTATAGATCGTTGTATGAGATAATTCAAAACGGAATTCAGCTGGGCAGAATGATGACGGGACTTACTTAGCATTAAGAAAAAAATTGGTATCGGTAAGTTTTAGAATACAATAAAACTTTTCTTTTCCATTTTGTGTGTGTGTTAAATATGTTATACAGTGTGTCTCACTTCTCATGGAAACACCCCCGTATCTTCCGTAATATTCGAGGTAGAACTATGAAACTCTCAGGACTGATGGAAATGCTCTTCCACTAATCAATTATGTTTATCACATAACTTGTCGATTTGACGTCTTCTATAAATTTATTCAACTCGTTTGGAGTAATTTTGAAATGTGAAAAAAGACAAAAAATTACTGGATCTAGTCTTGAATCAGAATTTGTACTTGCGTTGAGTGACTTCCAAGTTGAAAAGTAACGAAAAATTATTGAACCTTGCTTAGAACTACCGAAAGATATGAATGTATAGAAGACGCCAACAAGCTATGTGATGATAGAATCCTTGATTAGTGAAAATATTTGTAGATTCGATACTTTATCATTGAAAAATAATGAAAACAATGTTTTAATGATATTAGAAATAATCTTGTATGTAACACGATAGGATTTCATTTTTTGTAACTCGCGCTGCTCGCGCACGTTACACAAAATTAAACTTTTCGTAACTCTTTACATAAATAGCTATTGTACAAGTATGGCCAAGCATAAAATGCACCAAATATACTAATTTCACAAATCTATTCCGATAAAAAATAGAAATTTAATCTTTTTTCACAAAGCTACATTCTTTGGAATCACAAACTCAACTGCAAACAAGAGAAACCTTTAATGAGATTGAAAATTTACACATCATTTTCGTATTTTCAATGTGGGCATTCAATAAGATATACTGTAATTTGTTCTCGTTGCACTTATTTTGAGCGCTTACTTCCGCTACCTGCCAGCAGGGACGTGCGTCTTTGATTGATTTGGCTAGAGAGAGTAAAGCATGAAGAGAGATGAAAATATCGTTGACAGGTAATAATTTAGTCACGTGCTCCCACGGTCTCTTAACATTCTGTGAGATTCGATGAGTGCATGTGGTAAAAAATGGCATTATGTTTACCTTTCTAACTTACAACAGGTGTAAATCAGTTATTTTCCATCCAAAACATAAACCTCCATTAGGAGTTCATGGAAACACAATCTCAATACTTTTCAATATAAGCACAATATTTTCATAAATATATGTATTTATTTTTCATAAGTATATATATTTAACACAGATTTTACAAAAATTCATCCGCGTGTGGATTTATACATGAGGGCACATATCAATATTTCGGTACATGCTCCCGTACCGTTGAGGGGATGTGAGAAGCTGTCTGGTGGCGTGTATACTGGTGTGACAGGTATTTGTAAAATTTCCATCTAATACATTGTACCTCGTTCTCATCCGTGAAGTACCGAGAACAATATTGACAGGTACAACAGGGTCAAAACCAGAAAAATTGATGACAATATGAGTGCATGTTAAACTCTAATGCACAGAACTCAATTGTGTTACAAAATTCAATTTGTGAAGCCAAAATCTTCAGGAGCCTTAGGAACATTCCAAAAAACTGTCTGAACTTCTTACTCTTTAGCCAAAATTACAAAATGAAAAAAATTTAAAGAAACTTATGGCTCTCATTACTTTTAGAACCTTTACAAGTGACAATAAACTCTCCTGGCAAAAATGTTAACACTGATATTGATAACAAAAACTGAATGTAACGCCTTTATTTGAATAACGAAGATTCAAACAGATTCCAGATTTTCCGAGACTTCAAATGTTTCATATGGACCTCACCCAGTTTTGATGCTATATGAATGTTGCGGCAATGTCCCGAATAAATCTTAGCTTCTTAGGGCGTGTAGAGACACGCCCGAAGAATCCATTGTATGGCGAAACACGTGTTGCGTTTTTGTGAAACTGTTTAGTGGAAATCTCGCAATAAAATGTTTTTTGAATATTTTTCAATACTCCCAACTCGAACATACAGAGTAAAATAGAATCACCTAAGCAGATAAAAATAACAGCTGTGAAATGCCTGCCCGATAATAATAAGGGTTCTGATTGATGTCAAGCCAATTCTTGAATTCAAATGAATGTTTGTGATTCTGTTCAAATCTGATGGAAACATGTGTATGTTCATTTTTACAGAAGGGATTTTTTAAATTTTTGTAATATTTTGGGTTTTCATTGTTAGGATCATTCTGTATCATTTTAGACCGTTGAAGTGAATGAAATTCTGAAAAAATGTTCTGAATTTTAGTTCAATTTATGTGAAAAATGTAATTGATGAGCATTCAATTATTATTTTAGTTATAATTCAAAATCATTTTCAAAATAAATGAATGAAAACAACTGTACCTTCGAATGAATCCACCACTTTCACATTTCTTTCTAGGCTCAGTTTCTGGAGGAAACAATAGTTCAGGTCTGTATAAAACATCCACCAACAAAGAAAGTTCCGACTGCACTAATGGTTTCAACTGATCTTCTAATACAGAAACTATATCTTGAAGACCTTCAATTATACTTCTGTCCAGCCGCATAAGCTAAAATATAACGAAAACAATGAAATGTCACCTTTCATATAGTGAATAATTTTTCACTTGAGATTGAGATCTTTCCATTTTTGGTGTTTTTGAAGCCTGTAACCATTTACTGGTTTGACGAGTTAAAATAGTAGCTTTATTAAACATTGCAGTCACTTGACCTTCTAGATCCAAAGGTATGGCAATTCCTCTATTCTTGGCTAAAAAAAAAGGAGATTTAAATTGAATAATTTCAATTCTAATTGTGGTTCATACCAACTTCTGATAGTGTACGAATACAATTTTCAACTACAAATCGCTGTGATGGAGCTAGCCAAGGACATTGTGATACCCTGAACGCGGATTGTAAGAGTTGCACAAATATTGGTTGCCTTGTCTGGAAATTATAATTATATGAAGGAATATCTAAGTCGAATATCAACGAATAGATCGCAAAATTTTATGTTTACATATTAAAAAAGTATATATTTTTGGGTTGTTTTAGTGTGGGATGAAATGAAGACAAAATACTTGAAACATACATAGTTTGGAAAAATTTGGAACCTAACATTCTACAATTTTTATATTGTATATTAAATGGGCTTTAAATTCAAAATGAGATTTGGGGTCGAATGATACTTCATTTGAAAGATCGTCGATTTCTCTGTCCAGTGCTTTGTATATTTTAGATGTGGTGCAGTATATAACAAGAAAAATGTTATAAACGTTACGAAGTATTTCGGGAGAGTTTGAGAGGAATGCTCTAGTACTGGTGTATGGGAAATGTGTTTTCATCGAATTCAATTTGCAGACTATTATTTCATTCTGTAGCTAGCACGATAATTATCGAGAACTGATTTTCATGATTATTGACGAATAAGTTTATGGAACTGAATGCTTGTGATGAAAAAGTAAACGTAGTATATTGAAAGTACATCGAGAATATCACAGTAGATAGATAGGTTTTATTGTCTGAAATGGTAAAATGTTGTCAACAAAGTCAATACTATCAATTTGTAGGTCGGTAGCCGAGAGATGTGTGAGTTGGTAGTTCAAGCCGCAGGCTGAATGATCGATTTTCACTTGCTATCTTCCAACCTGTGCTAGGAATCATACGTTAAAAGGTAAGACCTCGTTAATCCTTAGCTCGCACAAGTTTTGACTTCTGAGGGTTGTCATTTGTAGGGGTGCGATAGTACAGTTTTTTAAAACAGATGTTCAATAAACACCCTGCATAGGATCATTAACACGTGATAGTATACTCGTTCGAGCTACTGACTGGTCCAAGTTCTCGTACTCGTATAATGTGAACAATTCTTGTTCAAATCCGGAGATGAGTTACACATTCCCCATCCTGCATACATCAGGAGATGAGAGCCGGCAATTGCTGATATTTTTTTTCCGAACTTCATCTTCAACAAGGAATGAAAGATAAAAAACTGGTAATTGTCGACACCCATTTTTTTTCAAATATTATCTCTTAATCCTGACCTGGAAACAAATAAAGTATTAGAAACTGAAACAACCCAACAGAGCATCGTTTGTTTGATGGTTACGTTCACCAAAGGTAACGTTTACCTTTTCTACTTACAGAGCAACGTTTACTCAATAGTGACGTTCACCAAAGCTAACAATTACTATTTCTACTCGCAGAACAACGTTTTCTCAACTTTTATTTGATCGCCTTGTATGCTTTTCCATTTCTAAAGATGATCGGGGGACATAACTGTTTATAACCTTCTCTGGGAATTCCCACTTCGTAACGATCGCCGATCAAAACTTTCGTGGCCCTGTCTGCATATTTGCATGAAAACCATGCGAGGGACCACCAAAGCTGTACTTCCATTTTCTAATTTTCTAAACAGTTTGTCTTTCTTCACTCAATAATTTTCAAAATATTGTTTTGTTTCCCTAGTTTTCTTTTCTATTAATATTTTTCTAATTTTACTAATTTGATCATCTTGAAGTTGTGCACCTGTTATCCAATCAACTTGTTATATCCAGTTGGAAAACTTCCATTTCATTAATTGGGAAAATCCGCGAAAATCGACATGGGCCATTTTTTCTCAGCTCCATATTCGACGACAAAAGTATACTCTTGTATTTTCGGCCACCATCTCCCAATATGTCGTGGTATGAGATCTTTTTTTGTAAGTGTTAGTTTTGAAGCGTTGCAGTCAGTGATAACTTTAAAATTTATTCCAAGCAAATATAACCTGAAATGCACAATGCACAACAGTCATTGTTTCCAGCTCGTATGAGTGATATTGTCGTTGGTCCGTCGTCATCTGTTTACTGAAATAAGAAACCACTTGTATAAGCATGACACCCATTCCAACTGAACTTGCATCCGTGTGAAGCCCCGTTCACAGGTAGGTAGTCAATACGGGCGATGACGTCAAATTTGTTTTCATTTTATTAGAAGCCTTTTGTATTATCTGAACTGACACCTATCAGAAAACAACTAATCCCATGGCTAATACCAGAAAGGGTGTTGGATTATAATATCCGACAGGTGTCAGTGCTGGATTATTCACACAAGTTATTCCTTCATAAGTTGCTGACAATACACTGCCGAAATCAATTTTCAATTATTGGAACACACTTGCAGACCGGTTTCGAGCTGTTTGGCCACTCGTCAGTGCAAGGTAGTGTCTATCATCAATATGAAGTCGATTATTTCCCATAATTGAAAATCAAATTCCTTTCAGAGTATTATTTCTCGAACTAGGCTGAGGAGAACAACAAACAACATGTTTATCATCGCCCCATCTGCCCATGAACGAGGTAATCAACCACATATCCGAATTTGCCCAATTCCTCGTATAGGAAAGGAAACTTCACATCGTTCAAATAAGAAAATGGAACAGACTTACGGAATTGGAGTTTCATAAAACATTTCACTTCTTCTCAACTTGCGTCATATTTGGCATCTTCGTCGAACCACTGCGGTGCGTTGCCTATCTACCGTATTATGTAATCATCTCAACCATACCTTGCAGCCAGATAATCAACTCTACCAAGCCATTGTTTCACCACTGAGTCATCTTGAGATGGATCGAACAAAGGAACCAAAAACTCGTCACCTGTTTCATGAGACTACTTGTCCGGCTTTGTTTCAATCTTTTCAATTCACACTCAATCTTTTCAATTCAATTCCCTTTTAATCATCTTATGGTGATTATTACTTACAATAATAATATAATACAGACTCTATTAACGCAGAACCTGATCTTGAATAAAATAATCAACAAGAATGCTTATATGAATTTGTAGATTTTAGAAGAAACAGAGAATGACTGTTCAGCTTTCTTTAAATAACTTTGAAAGAGACGTAATCGATTTTGTAAAAAAATATATCCCACCTAACATACCTTATTTTCTTTACTTTGAAAATTCAGATGATTATAAACGATTTTGTGAAGTAATTAGACAAAATTTTAAATGGCCTTCATTAAAATTTAAAAGATGTAAAATCAAAATAATTGATATCACGAAGGAAAAAGTAATTATAGAGGCATTGACGAGACCGAACAAAAACTCAAAACCCTTTATTATTGGCCCAATATGAAAGATTCTATCCAAACCGTTATTAACGAGAGTGAAATCTGTCAATGAAGTACGAAAGACATCCTATCAAAACAAAAATGATTATAACTCCGACAGCCACCAAACCATTCGAAATTATCCACATTGACATTTATACTTTAGAAAAAAATAAATTTTTTACTATTATAGACAGTTTTTCAAAATACGCGCAATCATATCAATTGCCCTTTTTATCGGCTAGCGATATAGCTGATAAACTTTTAATATTTTTTTTACATCATGGCGTACCTATCCAAATTATACTTGACAACGGATCTCAATGTAAAAACACAGTTATTGAAGAACTTATCAAACTACACAAAGTAAATGTACATTTATGCTCACCCAATCATCCCCAATCAAACGGACAAATTGAAAGACTTCACTCTACTCTCATTGAACACATTAGACTTCTTAATACTAGAGGATTTCTTAAAACACCGCCTCAAACGAAAATGGTTTACGCTATGCTTGCATACAATCACTCAATACATTCTGCAACGAAATTAAAACCCCTCGATATAGTTAATGGACATATAACCAATGAAAATATATTCGATATCGATATAGACAATATTCATCTCAATGATTATAAAAATGACCACCGAGAAAAAACTAAATTACTTTACGCGGAAATAAACAGAATCGAAAAGAAAAGGTTATTTCAAAATCTAATGAAACGCGCGATAACCCAGAAATGTTCAAACCTAATTCTAAAACTTACGTGAAAAAACACTTGAGACAAAAACACGCTAACAAATTTGAAAAATCGACCACTATCACAAAAGTAGACGAATCTGTGAAGACAGTTTCCACAGAAAATCATGAAAAAGTACTCATGGACAATTTAAAAAGACCAAGGAAGAAGTGCTATGAATTTAATTAATAGTTCATTTCATTTCTTTTCAGAATACCTTTTGTATTCGGACTTCAAGACAGAATAACATTGAAAATCCTGGAAAACAATCCTGGTATGATACCTTTAAAATTGGGCACTGCCAAAATTCAACAATACTCACACACACTGTGATACCTTTAAAATTGGGCACTGCCAAAATTTAACAATACTCACACACACTGATACACTACTATGACCTGAATCCATTCATAACTGAAATCCAAAAACTGAACGACCAATACGGACAAACTTTAGAAGCACTCAGTATAAACAAAAACAATATTTCCTCAGCTGAAACAGAAAATTACATCAAAACTTTGACTTCGACGAAAGACAAGACTGAATTCAAATTGCAAGAAATAATCACAAATCCCAAACGAATCAAAAGAGGATTGATTAATGGTATTGGTTCGATAGTTAAATCAATTACAGGAAACCTCGATGCAGAAGACGGGGAGAGATACGAAAAACTTATTAGGAAACTTCAAAACAACCAAAATGTATTGGCTTCTAGTGTTGTGAAACAAAATTCAGTTTCAATCAATTTGATCAATTAATTCAATCAAACTGTTCAACAAATAATTCACAATGAAAAATTTCTTCAAAAAAAAAATAGTTCATATTGCTGCCATATTCCAAACAAAAAGTTATGAAGAAAATAGAGCATATGTTCACGATATACTCAACCAAATGATTAATATGTTTGAAATAGTCAACTCTGCCTTACAAGACATTGAAAATTTCATAGTATTCGCGAAACTCAACATTATGCATCCAAACACAGTGAAACCCACTGACTTATACGCCGAACTTCTTAAATTACACGGAATTATTGCAAATAATCAATTTCCTATTGATATTACTTTAGAAAACATATTGAAATTAGAGAAAATCATAAACATCCAATGTTTT